TGCATTTTGAAGAGTGGGGGGGGGGGGGGGNGGAAATGATCTCTTCAATTCTCTGCAATTGGCGCAATCGGAACGTTAGCTGTTTGTCTTTACCTGCCTATGTTAGAGGAGTTGTCATCTGCATACTGCGAGACCGACACTTTTTATTTATTATGAAATATTGTACACTCTATACATTGTTTGCGCTTCATTGCCACTCTCAACCAAACGAAAAGGACACCAATGAATTTCAAAAAGCCTTCGTTTCTAGGTAAAGCTACGACAAATAAATGCAAAGAAAAAGGAAATGTCCCTACTGTCTGACTGCCAACTGTTAAGTCAACTAATAGGGATAGATGAAGTTGGCAAATTCTTATCTATGTAAATTCATGAATGAATTTGTTGTAGGTCCCCATTTGTTTCACTCGTTGCATAGCCGGTTTTATTACCAGGGTTTTCGCTAGCAATTCCGTCATCCGGGGCCTATTGATTTGGCTTAGTAGCATAAACAGCCAAACCTTGTTGAAGGAGGAGTGCGCGATAGATTTACCTCCACGTGTTGTACCCTGAACAAGGTATATTCCGATGGTTAAAGTCTTTCATTCGGCATTTGATTTGACTTCTATTTATTATGACTAGCTTGAAAAAAAGCTATAAGAAAAATCGCCCTCGTCAGAGCGAATCACAACTTCTGCAGATTCTCCAGTGGAATGCTGGAGGGATGTCACAGGACAAAAGGATCCAAATCCAGAAAATCCTACAAACCTTTGGTGCAGACATTTGCACAATTATGGGAATAAACCTTTCGGATGACAATCTAAATTAATTCCAATTCTCAGGTTACACCCTGCACCTTCTACCTAATTACTGGCAAGTTGCAAATAGAATTCTGACTGCAGTAAAAGAAGACCTCACCTCATATTACGATCTAATCAAGGGTATGGGCTCGACGCAAGACATATGCGAAATAATTAGATTAAATGCTTGGAAATGTCAAAACCACCCTAAGGTATGTGCAATCTATAATCCACTCCAGAATATTCCCAACTTTGACTTTCTGAACATCTCAAAGAAAACTGTAGTATTAGGAGACTTCAACGCTCAATCCACTAGATGGGGCTATAAGAATGCAAACTAAGCTGGAAAGGAAATCGAAGACATGCTTAACAGCACCCCTCTGGAACTTATTTACAGCAATGAGGATCCTGTTACATATTTGCACTACAATGGAACCAGAACAACTCCTGACTTACTCCTGGCTTCAAGTGACATCAGCGAGCGTACACGCCGCAAAATAATTGACAATCCTGGTTCTGGTCACAAACCAGTCATTGTTCGTTTTACCATTGGCAGCAAAAGCATGACAAGGAAAGTGCCAACTGAGCTATCATGGAACTTCAAGAAGGCTGACTGGCCTACATTCACAAATCTTTTAGAGAATGGACTTCACACAAGTCTCCTCAACTTCAACCAATATCCTGACAAACTTTGCAATGATATCACGAATATTATGATTCTGACAAACTTTGCACTAATATCACGAATATTATGATCAGGATTGTACTGATATCACGAATATTATGATCAGATGTGCAAAGAAAACTACCGAGGCAAGACTAAACACTATCTAGATAGTCTAAACACCTTGAGGAACTGAAAAGAAAGCGGGACGTTCTAGACACCTTGAGGAACTGAAAAGAAATCGGGACGCCCTTTAAACACCTTGAGGAACTGAAAAGAAAGCAAGACGTTATTCGCAACACTGCTGGCCAGACTGGAAGAACGGAACATATACATGCCTGGAGACGGCAGTCAGCTGTAATAAGACAAGAAATCTTACAAGCTAAACGGACTTCCTTCGACAAATACATCTCAAATATCAACTATCAAAGTGATATCCAACGCACATCCAAATTACCGGGTAACCTCCAAAACAACAGGGAAAGAACCAAGAAAGAACCAGTACTCTTTAACAACAAACTGCGTACCACCGACTTCGAAATAGCTAACTTCGTTGCTATGAAAATGGTATTTAGTGCTAGAGCATGAACTGTGATAAAGCAATACCCACCACGTATGACGAGCAATTCTGCACTTTGATGAATAAGGCAGCACGCGTTGTGTTGAAATAGTGAATTCCACCAAGATGGTTCAAGTTTTTCGGTCAAGAATTTCAAGTCAATACGGGTGACACATTGCAGTAAACACGCAAAGTAGTTTCATGCCATCACATGATATTCTCTGTATCTACCTTTTGTTTTCATGATAGCATTATTTAAGGTGGAGCATACTGATTTCGAAATTTACTCTTAGGTTTGAGTGAAAATAAACACCGCAAACTTTGATCCGATCACACTCTTCATTTGTGGATGTAGTAAATTTCGTAAAAGAGGCAAATGTGGCTCAGTGGTCGAGGGATATGATTCTCGCTTTGGGTGTGAGAGGTCCCGAGTACAAATCCCGGCTAAGCCCACACAGATATCTTTGATGCTTTTGATAAATATCATGGAGCATGGCATTTAATAGAAACAGGTAAATATGGTACATGGTAACTCAGTGGGGTGCTCAAAATTGAGTAAATGAAGCACAAACATCTATTTTTCTCATACAACTTAAGTAATCATGCCTCTAGCCTTCAAATTAAGTACTTTGAGCCGTTTAGCACAGTTTACAATATTTATTTATATCAAATGACAGGCGTTGGGAAAGTTATCATCAGTCCTTTAGTTGACTTCAGGCTTCACAGAGAAGGAACATCAAAGTGAAGCAAGTCAAGAGGAAGAGGGGGGAACAAAAGAGAGTTTCAAAGATGTAAAAGAGAGATAGATACAAAAGTAGAAGAAGTTGAGGCGAGTACTGTGGAAGTATTCGAATATGACATACAATGGAATGAGGGTAGTTTGAAGTGGAGGTTAGTCTACAGCACACCCCCGGTTTGCAATATTGTATTCATTGAAGAAAATAAACGCTTTTCGAATCAGTTACTCACCATTTGATTTATTTATTAGTCATTTTAGTTAGTTTCCTGTCCTGACTATGTGGCCATGAAATTAAAAGCCCTCTTTTCCACGCAAATTGCTGAGTCTTATTGCGTGGGAGTGACACCTTGAATTTTCTGCTGAAGAACTCGTGTTTCCCTCTATTGAGTAGACTCGATTAGAGTGTTTGTGCATTATACATGGATATTGACTCCTCTCCATGACAAAGTGGTTCTTGGAAGGGTGGGGCTTAGAGTGAGTGAGTGGGGTGCATTCCGATGGTAAATGCGAAATATACCCGTTCATCCCAAGCCACCAGGTGATAATTATGACAACCCATCAAATGTTCATATAAATGCATTTATTCTTTTGAAACGCAGTTATTCACATCAACGCTTCTCCTCTTCTTCTTTAACTCTGTTGCGGTAATGGATGGCGGACGATTTGCTCTCTCCTTACTTGCCTTACCCCAAGTGTTTTGAAATATTAGCTATCTCAAATCCTTGGGAGACAACCAACGTATAACTATTCCCATTTTAACAATTGACCATTTTGCCAAGCGACTACAAATAATTGTGAAGAGAGTTGTCATATTGAATACAGGATAATGAAGGATATTGAATGCCTTTACTCAGATGCTTTCCATAATTAACAGTTTTCACCCTCTACTGTACAATCACTTGCAAAAATATTAATAATAACAAAGCCACCTTTCGTGAACCTGCATTGTTTTGTCCTAAATACCACTGTGCATTGCGTAATTCTAACCTGAATAAACTTAGGAAGTGTGAGCAGAGGTCTTCTTACCTAACCACATATTAATGTTCTTTCAAATCACGTTAACTTTATTCCAAATATGATCCCTATATGCTGTGATCATAAAATTCAATAAACGCCTTACTCACTATAAGTATATCCTGGTGCTAATTCATGTAGCCATAGAAAACAAGAATACTTTTCCATCGAAAATTCAAATTTATGCAGCAGTTTCGCCATATTTTATCTTGAATGGCCTGCTGTGAAGTCGCTTCTATATCTCAAGGTGGCAAATCTTTGGTAGCAAGATGGCGCTCAATGAATCCTGTGACAACTGCTTGACAAGGGAGTTAAAGGAAGAGCTCTCATTTGACTTAACTTCTCAGGTCTGTGAGGGCCTTTTTGTCTTAATCCCAAACACCTCTATGGTTGCGCGCGTATGTTTTGCTGAGCACGTCAGGTCTGGCTGTCATTCAGAGCAACAGCCAATTAGACAATGATGTTCGGGACCTACGTTGGGCACTGATGTTTCACACCCTTCGTCATAGGTGCCATTTTCGATGCGAGACAAAAGCAGGAAATAAGCCTATTTCCGAGGGAATATTAAAAGCTGTCTTGAGGTAAGTTGCGCTGGTTCCTTCATTGACACTACATTATACGAATAGAAAAGCCCCGTCATTTCTCATTCGAATATATGAATGCGATTTAGAAGGGGATTCAAAGGCTGTCTACCAAAGGCTTCTCAAAGTTTATTGGGAGTACTTAGGACGGTTTGCTTATAATAGTGGCCATATGTGGATCAGTGGCAAGAAGTTCTACGAATTGGGTAAGTGAATTTGTTATTGATCGTGTTCACCATAAAACTTCAAGTATCATATTGACAGATTTTCTTAACTAGGTGTTTATGCTTTCTACTGGTTTTCAAAAAGTTCCCAACTTGACTGTCATTAGGAGATACTAACACTTGGCAAACGAAGTTTGAAGAATACATGAGGGACAGGCGTGCCACACCAATGTCATTGGTGTCTTTTTTGATGCGGTTTGGGACATTGCCCAATGCGGAGGGAATTCTATAGCGGGCAGTGGTAATTGCCAGATTGGAAGATGAAGATAAGTGAAACCCAAATGAACTCATTGAACGAGAAGTTGAAGGAAAAGCTCGTCTTTGTCATGTTTTCCTTTATAAAGAAGGAACAATGTATTTATATTCCAGACAACTGATGGGATGGGTGGCCTGTAACCCAACGCGTGAGGATGTTAGGTTGTTGCCTGTCCAAAGTCAGTCAGTCACAAACTCCTACTCTCAACATCAATAATAATGTTCGTATTCTTGATATCTCGGTGAATGATGACATGACTATGGTAAGAGTCGAGAGTACTCAAGAGTTCTACCATGTAGAATGTAATCTCTTGAGGATCAGAGCTTTTGGCCTCCTTGTGAAACTCACGGGAAACAACGTACTCCAACACTAAGGCTGGATCTTCAACCTAAAAATAAATAAATATTCCGCGACTCCATCTGTGTTTTAGAGAAAATGAAGATAAAGGAAGAGTGAGAGAGGAGCTGATTATGTGAACTTTTGGCCACACTTTGTTCTCATTCACAAACTTAAACTCAATCCATTCATCCTTAACCTCTTCCTCAACTATCAAAGGAGTTGTTCTTCATCCTAAATCCACTTGAACTGTTCTGCGTTCTACAGAAAGTGAGGAAAGGAATTAAGAATGAGAGGTAATTAGAGAGAGAGAGAGAGAAAGAGGATGAGTGTATGTGACCATTTGGCCACACTTTGTTTTCACTCACAATCTGAACCCCAAATCTTTCATCCTCAATCTCACCCTCAACCTCCAAGAGAGTTAATCATCACCAGCAATCCACTTGAACTCACTTCCATCAAATTCAGTGGTGAACACAAAATACATAAATCAATAAGTAAATAAAAAATAAATAAATACAATATAAAGATATATACAGGCTCTGTTCCACGACCTCTTCTGGGTTCTACAGAAAATGAAGAAAGGAATTAAGAAAGAGAGATGAAGAGAGAGTGTGTAGGAGGATGAGTGTATGTGCCCATTTGGCCACACTTTGTTCTCATACACCATCTTTATCTCAATAAATACATCTTTTATCTCTCCCGCAAGTGTCAAAGTAGTTGTTTCTCTTCCTAAATCCGCTTGAACTCACAATCATCCCATTTAGTGGTGAACACTAATGGAATCAATTTATATATAAATAAAAAAATTACATTCAATATGTGGTAGTATGCGGGCTCGGTTCCACGTCTCCTTCTGTTTGTTTCGGAGAAAATGAAGGTAGTGGGAGAGGGAGTGGAGCAGATTTGTGGCAATTTGTCCACACATTATTCTCTATCACAATCTTAACCCCAATTCATTCACTTCCAATCCCTCTCTCAAATTACAAGAGAGTTTTTCTTCATCATTGATCCACTTGCCCTCACATTCAGCCAATTCAGTAGTCTTTAACAAATATATCCAAGTTGTGATTTCGTTTCCAAGCCAACTTCCTCGAGTCTTTGTGTGTTTTGTCATTATCAATATCTCTCTTCTCATTTCATCGCGACATTCATCGTCCTATTAATATGAGGTCAAAAGATACTGTACACGTGTTAATTGCTTTTGTAAGTCCAACTCGCAACATGCCTAAATGGAAGAAAATTTTGACCACCTTAAGCGAATGTTAATGGCCCAAGTGCATGCTCACACTTTGAAGACGCTGTTACTACTGAATAAATAATAAAGTGAGGTGTTTGCAATAATTACAAATTACAAATGTGACCTAGGAATTTAACTTACAAGAAAGCAATTCTCAGAGCGACCATGTTCACCTTACTTGGTCCTTCCTTTAGCAGATTAAAGCCAACATTGCGGATTCTTTTACCCCTTTCCTCACATTTTTATTCACACCACTTTCCTTCAAGGTGCCATGAAAAAATGAATGCACAAGAATTCATTCGGTGTGAGTCTCGTGGAGAATCTTGCAAATTGAATGCGAAACGAAGGAAATATGGAATTGTGAGGTGCATCCAAAATGCTAAAGAGGACATGCAGTAGAATGACAAATATAACTATGAGCCACACCATGGCACATAGTTATGCCATTCTCAAGTTGGATCCGCAGCATGTGTAGCATTTGCGTTCCAATTAATCACAACTCAAAGGACTGCTTGATGGTTAAGAAGGAAGATAAATGAACCAAGGTTTTGCATATTTATTTCAAATGGCATCCTTTATGATATTTATCACTAGCCCTTAATCTTTGACTTCAGCTTCCCCCAAGAGGGGGAGGGGCACATTTATAGCAGTTAATTATTAGCAATTCATTAGCTGTCTTCTTGCTTCCCAGTATCTCTGGCTTTCCGTCCTTGTCTTTAGGGCTAGACACCGAACCAGGTGGGTCTTCTCCATTTCCTTCTGTAGGTTACATAGAGGGCATGTGGGTTGAGTGTATACTCCCAATCTGTGAAGGTGTTTTGCCAAGCAATCGTGCCCGGTACGTAGTCTGAACTCAGTCTATGAATATGAGAAGGAAACAATTCAAGCAAATGACCACAAGTTGAAAGTATTTAACCTATTAGAACTGAATTGTTTGATTATTTCGTTTCCAAGTTTGAACTTATGTGACGCTGAATTACGAGACTCTAAATTCATGCAGTCAGGCACAACAGGTAACAAGTTAAGAATTCTAAAATTACTGGTCCAATTGACTATTTTGCCATAAGACTTCAAATAATTTAGAGAGTTGGCATATTGAATTAAGAATACTGATGATTCTTGAATAATTTGATGTGAAAAGCGGAAATAGCTCTTTTGACTGTCTGGTCGCATCGCTTTCTCAACTCACTCTACCTCAAATGCAATCCTCTATTTCATGCCTCATTTCACTATCTCAGATGCTTTTCCATAATCCACAGTTTTCCCTCACCAATGCCCATTCTGTTGCAAAAATAATAATAATAAATAATAAAAGCCACCTTTCGTGAATCCGATGCCCAACTCAGTTATTTACTTCACGTATACACCATATAATCACACCGCAAATTTTAAGTGTATTGGGTAGATGAAATCAATTATTAATATACTATTGTCGATATAAAATGTTGAAATTTCTGCTACTTTTTTTCGGAATCAGTTTTAACTGCAATCGATAAATCTTTGCAAAACACATCTTCATAGTTTTAGGCGCATTGTCGTGGCTGTCGTCTTCGATGCTAATTGGGGACATTGTCTACTGGGGAGGGGCTTCTATAGTCCACAGTGGCATTTCCCGGTGGCAAGATGGAGAGCGATGAATCCCATGTCAACTGCCTGATAAGGGAGTTGAAGGTCATTACCAATGCCAAAAACTTTGTGCCGTAAGGGTGAAAAATATTTGCTTCCTCGTTATCTTAATCAAATGAAACCATCCTAAGCCTTTGAGATGTAAGCCAACTACCGTCACTTCTAATGCGAGTCAGAAACCAATGGGAGTGGAAGAGGAAGAACATATCCTCCTTGCAATACTGATAATGCACAATTACAACCTCGAACTAAGAACA